TCCCCAAAGGGGTCGAGACCCACAGGTTGAGAACCGCTGATCTAGACGGATACCGCTGCCCACAGCCAGCAGCCAGCCCCATCTTAGCCCTCCCTGCTCTGCTCACCCACCACCCTCTCACCCCACATCCCCAGGCAACCACCGACCAACCGTGACACTGTCAATCTGTTTGCACTTTAAAATGAAAGTTCTAGAATGTTATAAACAGATCCCACGGGACGCACTCTTTTTTCCTGGCTTCTCTTGCTGCGAAGAGTCTGAGGTGTTGTCAACAGCTCGTTCCTTTGTAGTGCTGGTGGGTAGTATTCCTTGGAAAGCATGTACCCTAATTTGTTTATCCATTCACCTATTGATGGATATTAGAGTCATTCCCAACGGGTCGTTATTCCAAATAAAGCTGCTATGGACAGGTGGTCAGACGAGACCAGTCCCTGGAGAAGGACGACCTGCTTGGTAAGTAGAGGGACGGTGAAAGAGAGGGAGGCCCTCGGCAAGACGGAAGGACCCGTGGCTGGAACGGTGGGCTGCAGTGTCAGAACCATGGTGAGGGTGGTGTAGCACCAGGTGGGTTTATTTCTGCTGGACATATAGGGTCGCTATGGGTCAGAACGGACTCGATGGCACCGGACAACAGTGAGCATTCAAGATGAGGCTGTCTGCTCCTGTCAAGGTTTACCGAGCCGCAGAAACCTATCGGGGTCACTATGGGTCAGAATCGACTCCGTGGCAGCTGGCTCTTTGGATTTGGGGATGGTGACAGGTTTTATGTCAGCTTGTGTGGGCCAAGATTCTCCCATGGTATGATCTCTCAGAGTGTGGTCAACTCCCTGGTGGGTTCCTCTGTGAAGCCGCCAAGCAGCTACTCTGTCTTGATGCACCTGAGGGAGGTTTCATTCAGGAGTGGGTGAGGCCTCCTCTTTATACAGACTGGCAGTGCCCAGACGCAAGCTCACTTCTGGCTTGTTGATCTTCTGTTAAAGCACCTGCCCATCCCAGGAACCATCAGCAGACCGCTGACCTAGGATCCAGTTGGCTTTGCCTCCACCAGCCTGTGGTCTTCCTGCTTCGACTTCCTGCTTCCTGTTCATCAGCCCCTGCCGCTACAGGAGTCAGGAGAAACCCCCAGCTTACACCTGACCCATGGACTTGAACCGGACTGGACTTAGAAACTTCTACAACTGCATGAGCCACTTCTGGATAGAACTCTCTGTTTACAAACACATATAGGCGTCAGTGATTTTGCTTGTGCAGAGAACCCAGCCCAACACAGGGATCAGCTTTCCCGTATACATCTTGGTGAGGGCTTATGTCTTTATTTCTTTGGGCATGTGCTACTTTCTGTTATTCATAAATGCCTCAGTATTCCAAAAGAGGGCTATTTTTAAAAAACATTCCTACACTATCATTATTGCACACCAGTTTTGCCACAAGTCCTTAAAATCAAATTACATGTTAATTTAAAAAAAATGAATTTGATACCATTCAAATGCAATTCTAATACATCCAGCTCTTCCCAGAAACCTGGACACAGAAGATGTTTCACCGTCCACCCTTTCTCCGCCTGCCTTACAAGCTTTCGTGAAGCAAGGCAGGGACAGGTGGGGGGCCCTGTGGCCTCCAGCAGGCCGGAGAGCTCCATGCTCGGATTAGTTCGGCCCTGTGAACTCAGACACAGGCAGCAAGAGCCAGGGCAGCTGGGC